ACTTGGCCACTCCTGGAGATGCGATGGCCTCGAGGCAGAACGAACTCTCCCGGCGGAATCCTATCAGGTAGGCCGCCAGGGGCTGCACCAGCAGGTTGTGCTCCAGCATCACGGGGAAGGACACGGCCGAGTAGAACGGCAGCAGGGCGCCGGAGCCGATGAAGATGTAGAACCCGATCTGCAGCCCGTCCGCGCCCTCCTCCGGCGGCTTGAACCACTCGCTGTAGAACAGCGCCACGGCGATTGGCTCCAGCACCGCATTGGCGATGACGGCCACGGCGGTCCGGGTCCGGTGATAGCCCACCAGCTGAGCGTGCCCCAGCCGGCCCGGCGCGTCGGCCGTCAGCCTGAGGACGAGGTGCGCCATCGGGCCGAACAGGAAGAGCAGCGTGCCGGCGGTGGAGGCCTTGGCGCCGTTTCTGCGCACCTCCCTCAGCGCGAAGGACAACACCAGGAGGACGCGAACAGTGGACTGAAAGGCGTCGTTATTGAGGAAGTAGCGCGAGATTCTGAAGTCTCGGTAGTCGCTCTCGAGACGGGGGCTGGCGAACCTGGCGCCTAGAAAATGGAGCACGGCGCCCGCCCAGGCCATGGGGGGGCCTGAGCGGCCCGGAGGCGCCTTGCGGCCCTCCATGCGCCCCGCCACCCGGATCGGGGGGAAGTTTGCAAAAGCGGGTCATTGAACGCCGGTGCCATCAAGTGCATTCCGGCGCATGTGCGCGTACGGCGCGAAGTACACGGGGCCGCGGGGTAGGTGCACGTATTACGATTGGAGTAGTGTTGGTTTTTGAAACCCTGCCGCATCGGAAAATCTCGCCGTCACGCTTTCTGCTCCGCATTTTTTTTGTCAGAACGCTATTTTTGTTATTTTTGCGTTGTTCCGTAAGAATTCTATTGAAAGAGCGTCATTTCTTTTATGGTTTTCTCCACAAGAAAAGGCCAAGCGTTGCGTTGTTATGCAGCGGGGTTTAAAAGCCAACAGTATTGTGATTGACGTGAGAGCTGGGCAGCGCGAGCGGGTGAGAGCAGAGCAAGGAGAACTGCCTGCCGCAAGGCCACTGAAGGGAGGGAAAGAAACGTCTGGAAACGGCACATTTTGAAATAGGATTATTGCAATTTCATTGTGGCGCCTGGAATTGTTCTTGGGCACTTGTGAGTAAGCCACCATAGTGGTGGCACCGCCTGTCCATTAAAATTCGACAGGCGTTCTTGAACAACTTCCTCATGTTCGGGTCGCCAATATATGATATGATATTATGCCATAAATTTTATGGCAAGTTGGCGACGTGTGAGCCTCAAAATTTTGAGGCTTTTTAAAGGTGGTTAGGGAATGGCGAAAATCGGCAAAAGCAAGAAAAGGGCTTAGTCTCCTTCAAAGGGACGAACTCCACTATAAAAGAAGAATACGGTGACAGCAATGCGGCAAGATGTATGGGTATCTCAATGTGCGCCCAACTCTACCAAGATACGGGACACGATGCTGATGCCACGGAAGGTCCTGCACCCCAAGAAGTGACGACACGCACTGGGCTCTGTGCGCCACCCCTCTGGACGCGCGCGCTTGGCTCGCAAAGCTGCGTCCTCACTCAGAAACTGCTTCCGACAATGCAGCACTGCTAGAAGGATGGATCCGCACCGATCGGCCACTGCAATGTTATTGGCTCGCACCAGCAATCGGGATCGAGGGGCTGCGAGCACTGATGGCAATCGGTGGGACTGGTGATTGCTGCAAGTCGTGGTGAATCTTCGCCAATGGATCCACTGGCCGGGCGAAGGCCTCGAAGGCTGCGTGGGATTGCGGCTTTCTAAATTTGCAAAGGGGAGACACCAGCGTTGGTGGTGGTGCAACGCACCAACGGTCTCATGGGGAGGGGTGACGGGCTTCGTGGAGCCAGACGATGTACTGCCACCGGATTGCTCACAGTGGTAGACAGAACAGCCACCGTGGGCGTCCAGTGGGACGCTGCATAGCTGGGATTGTACGTCCCAAATGCCTTCCCAGATGGGAAGGCTTTGCCAATGGCGGCCAAGCTTTTCATCAAAGGTGGTCAATTGGAACTGACCCAAGGCATTGATGCGTGTTGCAAAAAATCTACAGCGTCTGCAAGGCAATCTTTGCAATTGATGACTATGCTACCAAGTTTCATGCAAGATGGCGGTCAATCTGCATGATGAATATCATTGTGCGGCTGGAAATGAGGAAATTGCTGCAAGTCTATGCTGAATACATTGGCCAATTGGAGATTTGAAGTCCTGCTCTAACTGATTGTGGAGCTCTTAAGATGCTTGCTGTAAATAATTTCGATTTCTCAGTGACTGTTGTGCGCCAAAACGCCAAATCTGACGTGGATTTTGTGGGCAATACACTAGGAAAAAATAGGCCAGATGACACTGTCCTGACACGGTCTGTTCAAAATCCAACTGTGTGCTTTTGGCAAATGTGGTCCCAAAAGTACACAGTTAGTACACACATTGACACAGTTTCAACCGTGTACCTTCAAACAACTGTGTAGACTACACGGTTTCCTTGGATGCACGGTTAAAACTGTGTCAATGTGTGTATTAACTGTGTACTTTTGGGACCACATTTGCCGAAAGTACACAGTTGGCTTTTGAGCAAACCGTGTCAGGACTGTGTCATCTGGCCTGTTTTTTACTAGTGATAGCTGCACGATTTATTCACAGCAGGCTGGGGCAAGGTGTTATGTCATTCTTTTCAACTCTTCCGCCTCAGGCAGCTGCATTTTACGTGGTTCTGTGACGCGTCCACCTGAGCATTGCAAGGGGGCTATGTGAGGACTAGAAGGGCATGCTGTGAGGTTCGCGGAAGCACGCTCAGATGTGATACGGATAGTAGAGTATGAGGCGCAATAAGAGAGAGAATGATGTGAACTGGCATGTTTGGACGTGACCTTACAGAAATTGTGTGAAATTTGATTGTACTGGCCTTTTTAATGTGGCTAAGGTATTTGGGAATGGCTGCCGCGCTCTGTGCAGGCCGCATGCTGCGGTGCCCAGTGTCTGAAGGGCTGAACAGATGGACAATAGTCCGTGAAGCTGTAAACACTCTGCTAACATTCTCCTCGTGTGCGATTCTTGCACACAGGCCATGACGCAAGGGCCGGAGGCCAGTTTGAGCCAGATTTTTCATGGTACAATCGCTGGCGACGTGTTCGCTAGGAAGCTGTACGACCCCAGATTCATCTCGTTCGACGCAAATCCAATCGAGCCGGAAGGCGGGACAGGTGAAGGCTTGACGCTTTGTAGATTTTCGCCCTGGTGGCTGCCACGTCAGACGGCCACTTTTCGCACTCGCCAGAATGGGGACATGTATTTTTTCTCACTTATCTATTGTCCACTGTCGATTACTATTGTCCACTATGTATTGTCATAAAGACAATAAAGACATAATTATCATGCATCACAATCTTGTCGTCGTGAGTCAAAAGGATCTCACTGGATCTCGGCGACTGCTGAGCACGTTCACATTCGTGAAATTGACCGTCCAGGTCTGCTCTTTGTTTGAAAAGTGGCTGACGCAACAACATGGAGTACTGTCGTGAAGGCAGAAACAACTGTTGTTCATGATTCTGTAAATTGTACATTTTCTGATCATGAAATCACCTGCGCACACTTCTTTTGGAGCCCTTAAACTGATCCATGCCATCAAAGGAGGGTATGGCCTCAACGAACATGCCGAAAGCTTATCGAGCGTCACAGTGCGACTGTCCGCCATACTCAGATTTTGGTTGCCTGAACTCATGCATGAGCTTCCCTGTGGTGAGTCAGCTTTGCACATCCATACCCCGAGTGACCAGTGGTCATGCTGAATTTGTGAGCAGAAGCCTAGCGTTTCCATTCACATCATGTATAAGGATTCCTGTGGTGCACAGTGCATTGGGCGTTGATGAGCGAGACCTGACACTATCCAGCCGTGACAGAGCCCGCTAACACCAGTTGGGGAGCTCTTTTTCCAGACACCTACCTGCAAGTCGGAGTAGGAACGAATTCTCTTATTCAAGCTTCCAACCTTCACATGCAATTCTGGCTGGGCAAGGCAGAACGTCTGTTGCTGTAAGAGAACATCACTAGGGAAAAAAGGGCCAAATAGCACTTTTGCGAACACACATAAAACACATTTCATTAAAGTTCTGCACGATAAGGACACCAAAATAACACAAACCCGTAAACTTTGTACACGTTTGAACACGTGTTATTTTGCCATTTTTTTCCTAGTGCATGTGATTCTCAACGGTGGATATCCGTTTCCAGAAGCTTTCTCAGCGCAGATCTGTTTCGGTGCAATTTGTCTCTGGAAAATGAGACTGTTGATTGATGGAGCGCCACACCGTTTTAGGCGGGTTTGAAGTGGGCCTTCCTTGGGCATGATGGTGCTGCACAATGCTTTAAGTCACCCCGTCACCTCCCCACACGGCACCGGCACCGACGATACAACCTGGTGACAAAGCACACATGATTTGAAGAAGACCCCCATCTGCCATCGTTCTCATGACTTAGCATCGACAAAACGCAGCGGCAGCATAACGTTTTGTCGCTGGCGGTGTTTGTCGCTGCCAAGTCATGAAAACGATGACGGATGGGAATCTTCTTCAAACCATGTGTGCTTTGTCGCCACGGTGTATCGCCGGTGCCGGTGCCGTGTGGTGCGGTGAGGGCCCGGCTTACCATACGCCAAGCACCCTCGCGCTGAAGGCGGGCAGGATGGATTCCCCTGGGGCTGCGCACATCAACGCGGGGCGCGTTCCGCGGCGCTTCTCGCGTCACACTCACCCACCCATCCGCTGCCCTCAGGTCACTCTCCACCGGCCGTGACGTGCGCCTCGCATGCGCACACATGCATTCTCCCGCTGCGTCACCACGCCATGCTCAAAAGCCCCAGGACCCCTCGACAGATTCCCAGCGTCCGTCCCCCTCTTTTCACGCCCCCTCCCCCTTTCTCCGGCTCGCCCTCAAAGGGCATTTGCGCAGAGTCTTCACAGATGGGCGCCGCTGGCCTCCCACGGATCCTCCCACCGCTTGCCGCTTTGCTGCTTTTGTGCATAAACGGCCCTATTTTCGCCCTGTGCCAAAACGGGGATGGGCCTGGATCTGGTGCCGGGACGGGCGGCGGCGAGCCGGCCACCCTGACCGACTTCTACTCCCGCCTGGGACCGGATGCCTTCAGCGTGGACTACAGGGCCGCCGCGCCGGACGTGGACGAGGCCCTGGGATCGCTGACCGCGCTGGACGGCAGGCGGCTGGGCGCGATCAGGAGCAGGCGCGCGGATGGGGCGGCTATCTTCGTCAGGCTGGCGCCCTGCTCGATCGCGCCGCACTTCCACCCCCGGTCGACGGAGTGGTGGGTGGTGTGGGGGCTCGCGGAGGCCGCGCCGGAATTTCCGCTTCCCTTAATCGTGGCGATCTGTGGGATGGGTCCTGAACGTGCCGGCCCTCCGCAACCCCGCGCTTTGCGTTTGCGCCGCGGCACAGTCCCGACTCGGGACTCGCGAGCCAGTGCAAAATGTACCTCCCCACTGCGCCCCCCTCCACATTCCCATGTCAGCCAAAGAGAGTTTGGTTGTCTCAGGATGCGAAAATCCGGGGTGCGGTTTTCGCCCAGCCAGCTCATGACCTGGTCAACGATTCGCGACTCTGCCACCTGTGCCCCGCCTCCCGCGTCGAAATCGCGTGCCCGTTGGCCTCGGTCCGCGTCCGACCGCCTCGATGCTTCTTCTCGGGGCCCGCGTTGCGCGAACAGTCACCTCCTGGGCAGCAGAGCAGGCTGCTCGTTTCCGCCTGCGTCAGCGCACACAGGCAATAGGCAATCTGGCCCATTATAGGTGCCATCCCCCCGTGCGTGTGTTCCGTTCCTGTGCCTCCATCGGTGCCTTGGAATCGGCCCTCACTGCAACTGGCTAAACCAACCTGCCGTCACTTCATTCTGCGGTGCCAGCGGTGTCCTTCTGTCCAAACAGCATCCCCCTTGTCAGTGGTTCTCTTGGACTTCAGGGTACGCGAACCAACGAGGAGCTCGTGATATGCACCACGTGGACGCCAGCACCGATCGCAATCAGTCATCTGATCAGATGTTCTCCACGATGTCCAAATATGTGGTCATTTGCCATGTTCTGCAAATGCAGTCACTTGGGACTTGCGCGCATTGCTGGGTGGAGTGGCACTCAAGGGAGTGGACTGCCCTCTTGCTTGCCCATAGCCAGGATTGCCCCTGGCCAGGTGGTTTGTTAGAGCAGTGGGACATCCTATCGGAGGTACCCAGTTTGATCCCAGTTTAGTAACCCTCGTCACCACGAAATAATATTACTGCCTGCATCAAATCGGTTAACTGCTTGCACTAATTCACGTGCACGCTAGGTCCTCACCTCAGTTTTAGGGTTTTAGTTTTAGGGTAGGTTTAGGTTCAGGGTTCAGGGTTTAGGGGTAAAGTTAGATTAGTTTTGGAGGGATTTGGTGCGAGCAGTCACCGATTTAGTGCAGCCAGTAACTTTATGCCCTTCACCACACACACTGAAACACGCTTGTCTTTTGGCAGGTACGTGCCAATCAAGGGCCGCGTGCTGCTGCGGACGCTCCGTGAGGCGACTGGTGGCAATGCGCCTCGGGACGACGTGGTCATCCAATCCAACATTGGCCCGGGTGAGGTGGCCATAGTGCCGCCTGCCTACCTCCACTCCACAATCAACCCCACGTGCCAGGTGCTGTTCACGCTGCCAAGTGGTCCGCAAAAGCCACGGTTTCAATTGCACGGATTGGGCCACACCCATGGACGTCAATCACTGCTGCACGATTTTGAGCGGCAGTAAAGAGTACAGGCATGGGGGAATTGATGTGCGTTGGGCTGCTTTTCGCTTGCGATTCTTGCTGCGCCCGGGCGTTCTCTGCAAGCCTATGCTGCATGGAAAAGAGTCCCGTGACGATGAATGCCGTGATGTCTTACAAAACATCGGCGCACGGAATTGGGTTCCCATGGAATAGACGAACAGTTGTTGAATACTGCCATGCGATTGACGAATCTCGCCGAACGCAGGGCTAAAATGCAGATTGCACAAGCAACACGATTTTGACATCACCAGTCCGGCTCCTCAACTGTATCCATGGTGTCACGCCATTTAGCACCGTTGGACCGCACACAGAAAGAGCCCGAAATTGGCTACTTTGACGGTGCTCCGCCCGCCATCGCCTGCAGGATGGGAGGGTTTGTGTGTGTCATGTGATGTTGGCAAGCTTAAATCCGGCGAATTGGCGGAGCCAAAAATCCAGTTCGCGCAAACATGCTATTGGTTTAGTGCTGCAGCAAAATATCAAAACTGCATTTTCACGGCACTTCCTTGCTCTTTTACAGCACGCTAAGCTTGTTATTAAATGCACCGAATGCATGGTTAACGTCAAGCCAGTTGGGGCACCGTTCTGCGATTTATCGTTTTCAATAGGTAGGTTAAGTATATCGGTTTCGGCAGCTCGCCCTGTTCAAATGACAGAAACTGTGCGATGTGCAAAAAGTATTGCCGATGTGGGGGCGCCCATCCCTTTACCAACGGGATGTTACACTGTGACATATCTAGCCTTCTGAAAGAAAACACTCGTCGCCTGACAGGAGACCGAGCTGCTGACCTTCTACCCTGAGGGAGACCCTGGCCTGTTCACGGCGCAGCAGCTGTACCTCTTGAGCGCCCCGGAGATACGCGCGGTCACGGGTCAGAACGAGAGCGAGATCGCGAACCGCCGCGGGGGCCTTGGGGCTGGGCCGCCTGTGTTTCTGCCATTCGACTGCACGTCAGAGGGAGGCGACCTGCCGTACGATTGCGAGTGCTCGGGGCCCAACCCCTGCGGATAGCAACCGACGCCTGAGAGGCCCATCGGCACGATTCCCGTGAAAACTGAGATGGATGTTTTACGATGTTTTCCGGTGTTGGGCGAATGTTGGGAATGTTGGGATCTAGGGATGAAGATGCAGAACCACAGTTTCGAGGTCGTGTGTAAATTTCTAGCACATAGCATCGTCTTGCAGACAATTTTGCGGGCTACTCAAGTGCCAGAATCACACGGGTAGATGTATTTGTCTTGTCGAGACTTAAGTCGCTGAGCCATCGCAGTCATGGACACTGTCCTTCCTCTCTCATAAGCATGAAAATTCCTTATGAGAATGATCGGTTGGTTTGCAAGAGGGTTTTCATCAATTTCTATAGGATCTGTTGTGCGAAGGCGCATGTGACCAGGGTAAATTGCAGCAGCGCAGACAGTAGGACTGTTGGCGACTATTTATTTGAAAGGTGGGCAGCAAAGATTTGAAAGAAGACATGCCCTGCGTCAGCGATTGCGCCCTTGAAAATTTCCTTACCCATCGGGTTGACATTACAGACAGGTTTGTGAGAAGAAACGGCGGAATATGGCTCTGAGGGGCCGACGACTGGGGGCATTCTTGTCGCACGGGACGATGTAACAGACATGGCATTCATATTGGAGATTCCATTGACGTCTTGGTGGAAAACACAGCTGAGCTCTCAATGGCAAGCCGCCTGCCACGGAAGCCCCACTTCCTTCGCATTTGGCGATTTTGTTTAGAAATATAGGCGGGTCCTTCCTAGGGGAACAGAATAATCTACGTAGACTCTTTCGCAGTCATGAACAGCCCAAAATGGCGTCATCTAATTTCTGGATTCTCCAGACTATGGAGAAAGCAACCAGGTGCCAGGCAAGTGGCGTTCGATAGCAGCGTACAAGCAATTGTGCCCATGGATTGGTCGACCATTCCATGCATGGATTGAAGGGGTTGACGTGGAAAGTGGCCAGTACTTGCCCCTGAACACAACCGTTATCCCATCTGCGGCTAATAGACGGTTGTTTGCTGAGAGCCCTCGAACACCGATGTCTGCGGCTAACAGGAACATTAACGTTCGAGACTTGAACTGGATAACTTGTTTCAGCAGAAGCTCCAGCGCTTCAGGATTGCAAGTATTCCCATATGTGTTCGACGCTGGAATTCCCACCGTGGCATTGCTGCAGGCCGGCATGGCAATCCAACCGCAGGCGCTTGTAATCTCCTCTATCCGCCGGCTAAACATTTTGGCGGAACATTTGTATTGAATGCTGCCATCGGTATTCCTAAGAAACAGTTGGTTGTCCCCCCATCGCCCCTGCCAGCATCAAAATCAACTATTCAGTAGATGAAACACATAGAAATGTCCAAAACTTTGTATTTGAAAGCTGTTCAATGTAATGGCCAGAATTATAGTATAACATATCGTGATGACAGACACGGAAAGGTTGACGGATAAAATGCTGATAACCAGTCCAACTTGAGGGAACAGATTTCACAAACGTAGTCAAAAGGCAGTAAAAACGTAGTAGCATTAATGATCAAGAAGATGTAAGAAAGGCAGGAAAGAAAAGAATGCAGGCCATGAGGTCTAAGCAAAGTTTCTGTGCACACCTATTTAGGGAATTCACTGCAATAGCTAGTTTTCAAGATCACGCTTACTGAGATTTGGAACAGTTAAGTAAGCCTTGAGCGTTGGTGGTACAGCCACTACTTCTGGTCTGTATGAGGCATGGTGCGAACTTGGACAAGAAGCTATTGCGAAAGACTTGAGACATGTCGCTATAAGGATGTTGATTTCCGAATTATGTTCCTTTTAAGAGGGAGGAGCCTTTTCCAGGACATGTGGGCATGGTGCTCAAAAGATGGTTTAAGCTGCCATTATGTCATATGTCTATAGAATGGCTATCTGTAGGCTTTGCAGTATGGTTCCGTGAGATTTTGAGTGTGGAAGGAAGGTGCCAAGGGCATAATATAAGGAACAGGTTGATGGTGAGACAGAGTGATGATGTTCGGTGTAATGATGCCACCACGTGCACTTGTGCCTGGCACCGTGTCGGGTCCTGAAAGGGCTGATGATCATGAGTGGAAATCTATCTGAAAAGAACAGCGCCTAAAGTTGTGTACATGTCAGAAATGGTACAACCTGAAACATGAGTGTCTACCATGACACGGGGTTGAGGTTGTGTGACCACAAACAAGAAAAACTACATACTGTGCGTTCACAGCCGTAAAAATACCGTCTTCAACATAAGAATTGTTGAAAGTAAGGAAGGATATAAAGCAGTGGCTGTAGGTTTGCAATCAGAAAGATCTTAAGAGTAGTTTACTTTAAAAGAATGAGTCACAGCGTATGTGAAAAGAGGTGACTGTACAACGCAATCGCAGCCGCATGAATTGATGCCGTGCCACTAGAGAAATACTGCCCAAATCCAGGAAAAACTGTTGATGGCCGATAGCAAAAAACATGAGTGGAATACTGTGGTAAGGCAGCTGGTATAGATATTTGTTTCTTATGTGAAAGGGGTAAAAACTGCCAACCTGCGTGAATGGACATTAAGCTTATGGTAATACTTCTTCCATCCCATATTAAATGTCCTCTATTTGAAAGATAAAATTCGTTGCAAGAAATGCCTCAAGAGTACAAAACAAGGTCAGAATCAGAACAACTGGGTCTCCAAATTCTTAACTGGCAATTTTAGAGGAAGAAAAGTCAGTCCCACCCCTTGAAAGGCACCCTCAAATTGCCCTTGGATTTGAAAAAAAGAATATGCCAATTGATTTCGCTTCCGCATGAGATCCGCACGGTTCTGGGTCGCTCCCATCCCGGGCAGCCAAGGGGGTGGATTTGCCACTTCCGTGGCTAAGAGCGACGTCCCTCACGTGGAATAACACTGGTCAAACACGCTCAACGGTGTTTGGATCGTCATGGCAAAAGGCCATCGTCACAACATCAACGATGCCAGAAATCGCCGCGACATTAGATCCGAGATACAAGGACCTGCAACAAGCGGAATAAGCCAAGATCCACGACATTCAAGCCTAGGCTCTGTGCGCTCTACCACTCCGAGTTATTTGGGCGGCTTTGCATGGACAACTTGCCTCAATTGATCTTTGAATCGAGGCCTTCACGCGTAGCTTGGCCCACCATCGATGAATTGCCATTAGCAACCACCTCTTTTGTGCGGTCCACAATCCATCACCGCATATCTCGTCTGGCCTCTTCAAAGAGACATGGTGTTAGATATCTACCCGTTCTCTTTGTATCTAGCCTTCTGAAATTCTACAGACACGCCAATTTCGCCAATCTTGTGTCGACAACAATTGCCACAATCGGCTGCCACTGAATGCGGTGTTGTGCTTTACCTTCTCTGTCACATTGTCAAGGGGATTCGGAGCCACCCTCTGTTGTTTTGACGGCACCAACAGAGGGCTAAAAGTCTTGGCCTCGAAAATTCGGGCCGGAAGGCAGCTCTAGTCCACCAGGCCGGCACTGAATTTCAGCTGTGAGCTACCATGAACTGCACGACTAGTGCCTTTAGAAAGCGTTTCCTATTGCCGCGCTTCCTCACAAGCACCACATCGATCTTATATCTGAACGGCATGGATAATTTTCCAGACGCGGCTCTGTGTCGCCGCTGCGAAAGTGTGCTCTTCAAAATAGCGAACACGGCTTTTTTCGCGGAATCGTTGAAAAACGGGTGGGTTTTTGGCTGGAGGACCCTGACTACAAAGTACTATAAAATCCTCAATACTTAACTGATTGACTTGAAATCTTGACAGTACATTCCGAAAACGAAGACACAACTTTTACTGATTTCATTTAAAAAGAAAGAATTCATAATGGGGAGGTAATGCGTCAAAATCATAGAAGACATTTAATGTGGGACGGAGGAAGTAGTTGCAAAAGAAACACAAATAATAGAGGGTCCTTCCCAGAATTTGTACCTTATGATAAAGAGAGATGGGAATAAGGTTGTAGGCCATTGGTTAGAAGAAAAAGTTGGTCATGTTGGGGAGCAAGACGATCAAGCTATGAAACATTTGGTATGAGATGCATAAGAACGCAGCCATGAGATTGCAATACCACTCGTAGGGCAGAAAAGCTTGAATCCCGCATCTGCCAAGTTCAAAGGGATGCGCTCCTAATTAGCCAACAGGGATAGACTTAAATGACCATGGTTAATGAGTGGTGCATGCGGCCAGGTCTCATGGACAGGTGTTTGTCCATGTCGATCGTTGGTGATCAAAAACCTGATCCCACTTAGTGGCGAATTAATATGGCAGACTTGTCCCATCATAAAATAGACAGAAGATGTACTCAGCATCCTGATTCATCACTAGGATAACTTTGAAAACCAACTTTGAGCCGATATGTGAGGAGGCAATATGCACCCCTATGTCGACCCAGCTGGTCATAAGGCTGTTTTGCACTTTAACTTGCATCCCTCACTAGATGATATGGTAGACTGCCATACTTCCTGATGCGCACCACCACCTAATATGATGGACAGAGAGGGTGCCCTCACACCTATAGACATCACATGAAGAAATGGCGTATGCATAAGACCACCCTATATGTTATGTTGCATGTCCAAGTCTGACATGTGCAACAATGCGTCATGGCAGTCCTGGACACCATACAAAGTGGTTGGAGCAGGTCCCTGAGGACCAATTCCAGAGGGATTTGGGCATCCAAACGGAGTGCAATAGTGCAGACCACCAGGGCAAGCTCGGCAGGTGGACAGGGTGGCGATTGACAAAGGCTAGGAACTAGAACACATAGCATTTGAACTGGTGGGAGCCCCCACCATAGAGATGCTAACTCAAGAGGCCGAAGCTCCGCCCTCACTAGATTGGGAGCTAAGGATCAACAAAGTTTTGGAAAACATTCAGTATAAGGGGGGCACAACCCCTTTTGTGACCGACCAGGGCTTGACCCATGCATCCTGTTCGGCTTGGGAGTCGGTCATGAGTGAGCAATACAGATTGGAGTAGAAGCTTCATGTTACAAAAAG